AAACATGTAAGACCATTAAATATTTATTTCAGTTTTTTATTTAACTCAAGTCAGATGAAATTTTAGTTTTTACTGATTATAAATATTTACAGATTATAATTTTATAATAGGTAATATCCATATGTTTAATAAATATAGTAAATAAATGTGTGTGAAAACAAAAAGATTAATAAACTTGTTCCTTTTATATTACTGCATTTATATTTTATAATGCTTGAGCTAAAAATTGTGAAACTTTATGTACTTACAATAAAGATTCAAATATGTATTAGTGATAATGCGTTATTTAAACTTAATATAAAATACATATAACAAAATTAAAATAACTTTTTGGATTTATTTCTATTTTTAAGCTTATACAACACTTTTTAATAAAAATATTTGCACAGTAAAACTTAAAATTTATGAGCACTAAATGAAAAAACCCAATTTTCCACGGGTTTTTTCAATAAAACCCAGGCAGGTTGGGTTTTTTATAAAATACCTGGGTTTTTTCAAACCCTGCTTATTATTACTTACTTATTATTAGGTTTAAACCAATGTATTATGTTATTATCAAAACAATTCACTTTTAAAACTAAATTCTCTAATTGTCAAATTTACTGCAACATACAATTTTCACTTTAGAAATGATGTACAATATTTAACTTTGAAACTTAAAATTTCTAAATTATTTTTACTCTTGCGGTAAACATTAGTGGACAATTCACTTGTAACTAACTCAATTCAGATATCAAACTAAAATATTCAAAATAAAATTAGAATGTAAATAAATACTATAATTTAACTTCTCATAAAATAAATACAAAGAAATATAACTATTTACATATATACAACAATATATAAAGACTGAAGCTAACTAGATCTTTTTATTTTATCAAAATGCTTATTTTTAGCTTGATGTTTAGTTGTTAGATTTTAGAGATGCATTAGTTTCAAAACAAACAATGTATTTAACGCTTTTTAACTTCACATAATTTCATCCAAACTCAATATTATTAATATTTATATACATAACTGAAAAAAATAACTTAGTTTAAGAACAATAGCACTTTTCTCGGTTCAGACTCGTTTAACACCTATGTTTCATTTAATGTAATCATTTTAAGCTTTCTCAAAACCAGAGTTCGTGATTTTTTTTTTAAAAAAATGAA